TTTAGTCGACTGAAATTATGCTTTAGTGGTTATGTATAGATTATATCGTCAAATTTTCATGGCACCATTGGTGTATTTACCTTTTGGAAATTTATTAAGAAAAAATATAAGTGGTATATAAGTTTTTTTAAACAATTACTAATATTCGATTTTTCGTAAGCTATTTGATATTGGCACTTGAAAAATTAACTGCTCTACATTTTTTGTGAAAATCAATTAGGTTATAAGCAATAATTTGCACAGTTCTTGGAAAAATTCTTTAAAATCAAATAAGTGTTGTCACAATAGCAGGTATTTAAAATTATGGGATTGTTTAATTTTTTATACATACCAAATTTTATTCGATAGTTGTTAATGTTGTCATTTCTTCTTTCTCCTAGGACAGATATAAATATTGCTATATTAGGAATTGAAAAATAAAAGAATATCATCTAAAAAAATATTATACAATTACCTGCTATTTTGACCTATGTTATTCCATATTACAATTTCAAAAAATGAGTTGATCTAAATTTTTTGACGATAGTCTATTTCTTCTTTCTGACATAATCTGTCCAGCTTTGGAAAATATCCGTTCTGATGGAACAGATGTTGCAGGTATACATAAATATTTTTCATTAATTTTGTTTAGTTCAGGCATTGTGTGGCCATGTGTATTCCAAAATGCAGTGGGATCACTTTTAATACTTTCGTAAGGCAGATCTAAATATTGCCTTGTTATGTTTGTTGCGGTTTCTAAAGGTGTAGAGCACTGTCTAGTTAGATGGGAAACTTTATCAACATAAAAATTCCAAAATCCTGCATCCTGATTAAGTGGTTCTCCTTCTTCTGGGTTTGTACGTCTATTCTCATGAATTTGCACGTTGGTTAGTAAATTCTGAACTTCTGATGTCAAAGTTTCTATTGCTCTTTGTGCATTTCCTTCGCTTTGAAAAATTGCTGTTTTAAATCTAGGGTCTATTATTGTAGCTGTTGATGTAATTTTATTTGTTTCTATATATTCAAATCTAATATCAAGATTGTTTAATAGGTTATTGTTTAGTGCAAGTCCGGGCATTGTCATAGATGTAATATTTTGGATGGCGTTTTCAATTCCTCTTATTAATGGCATGATTTTTGAAGGTAGAATATTTTTCAGCACACAAGTCTACAGTTACATATTCTATTGGTTTCAATAACGGTATTATATCTTCTATAATGTCCCATTGTTCTGATGGAAGGATTGTAGGATATCTGGATAGTGATACCACAGTTGCCGATAAGGGAACATTCAAGGCATATAATCTTTCCAACATAACAAGGGATGAGTTCCATCTTGTGTGTATATCTTGTTTTAATTTTAGATTTTGGAATCCCATTTGGGTCTGTATACTTCTCAGTTTATCTGCTGCAGTGACACCGGTTTTAAAATGAGTGACTAAAGAGCGGCAAGTTTTTAGTATACTGACAATATCTGGAATTCCATTAATCGAGTCCTTTACTACTTTGATTGTAATGCAATATAAATACAAAGTGTTAATGAACTTCTGAATGAAATAATATACGTATCAACATATTGTTAAAATAATATTACCAATATTAATATGAAATATTGATATAGTTATAAAATACTATTTTTCCTATAGCTTGTAATTAATATATTATGAACATAAATAAAATGTATGAATTATTATTTATGCCTTAATAATAATACAATATTAATGAACTTTTGAAAAAATGTTACATAATTACAGCAAATATGAACGAGCGATCACATATTGAGATTAGAATAGTATATACATATAGCGAAAACGAGCCACGACCGTCATAAATTACTTCAAGCACTTGAAAAGCAAACGTTGACGAAAAGAAAGGGGCTTTTCCGGACAGAAGAATCGTTCTTCTCAGCTGGCGAGCATCGAAACCTTTTTGTAAAATTATCGATTCAACATTAATAGTTACGACTTATTTATTTGCATTTTTATCGTTTTTTCTTACAATAATATTACTAATATCAATTAATATTACATAATATTAATGTATCAATATTAATAATAAACGTATTAATATTATGTATAATAAACAGTAAAATATAATATATATAAATCTTCGTAAAAGAATTAAAGAACGAATCTTTTATTTTCGTTAGTAATACTAGCCCACCCCTGCTTCCTGTAATGTTTAGAGTTTTAGATGTTTACATTATCAAGTGACAGAGTCGAATTCTGAGATAATCCGTTCTAGTTGGTTCGTCTTCTTTCTTAGTAATACTTAAAATTTCTTATTAATATAAAAGGGGCACGAAAGTATTCGTGCACTCTAAACAATTAAATAAACTTTTTAAAATTAACGATCTGACTTTTTCGGAGAAATTTAAACGATTAGTTTACAAGGTAATGCATAAAAAAATATATGGAAAAATTACAATTCGTTTGCATCGCGAAAAAAATAATCAAGATCCAGTCAATAGCGATCAATAGCTCGATAGTTCCAGCGAGTCGCTTGAAGCGACTAAATTTAATCGACTAAAGTAGTCGCTTCAAGCGACTAATATTAGTCGCCTGAAAGTAATCGCTTCAAGCGACTAATATTATTCGTCTGAAGTTAGTCGCTTCAAGCGATTAATATTATTCGTCTGAAGTTAGTCACTACAAGTGACGAAAGTAGTCGACTGAAAGTAGTCGTTGGTTATTATCGACTTAGTCGATAGTGCCCATCACTAAGTAAAATGGAAACTTTTCATGAAAACAATTTGTAGTATTATAAATTTTTTAATGTTATAAGTTTCTTCTTCAAACAAATGTATATTTAAGAGGAATAAGGATAAATTCAATTGAAATGTGATTTATTTGATCTATTAATACTATTTTTAATACGGATTTCGAATATTTTATTAAACTCGACAGTAGGTCAGTAAAATAATTAAAGTTGTCATAAATTTTAGGAATATCATTAATAAGTAAATACAAACAAAAGTAAAACAATACACCGCAATTTTGAACGAATTTACAATTTTTAATAATTAAACGTATTGTTTCAGTCAACTATTATGATATATTGAGTTATTTATTGCTAGAATGTATATGCGGGAAATAGCAATGATTAAAAGGTAAACAAAGTACTTTCAGAAACAATTCATTCTAAATTATTAAAACTATAAGATTGTTTATCAAAATTTTTTCAAAATAATATATGAAAATATTTCACATGTATATGGTTTTAAATAACTTGTTTCTTTAACGAAATATTTTTATAGATATAACATATTTGTAGTAAAAATTTTAAGTTTTTCATGATTACAAAGTCGAACGTGTATAAAAAACTGTGTAAATCTGCCCTATGATGTTATAATGCATTCAACGAAGGAATGTTTGATCTTTCGGTTTGTTGATTTAAAATTACCATAAAAAGTATCATGGCGTCTAAAGCCCATGTGGAAAGTATTGTTAACGAACGTCGATTACGTCCGATATACGGCAAGTATATTGTTCATAGTTTCAATGTTGACCAGAAGTTTGATTTCTTAGTTTCATAATTATTTACCTTCGGTATTTAACCGGTAATGAGGTTATGTAACGTTACAGTATTACCATTTTAGATTGGTTGGATAATGGAAACAATAAGAAAGCTCTTCAAGAGGCAGATAAGGTGCTTAAGAAACATCCAAGCAATCAATGTGCCAGAATGCTCAAAGCTTTGGCTTTATTACGACTTGGCAAAGAAGATGAGTGTCAAGTTATTATGGATAAAGTACGTTCAGAAGTACCCTGCGAGGATTGTACTCTACAGGTTATGAGTATTTGTTACAGAGAGATACATCAACGTAAGTTTAATTACTTCGCAGAATGTGAAGTTGTTTATAAGTATACTATACTATATGGACTTGTTTATAGCAAATAAGATTAGTGAAGTGTATGAAGCTGCTGCTAAAGCAGATCCGAAAAATGAGGAATTATTAACGCATCTTTTCATGTCTTATGTACGTGTTGGAGATTATAAGAAACAACAACAAACAGCACTTGCTTTATACAAACTAAAACCAAAAAATCCTTATTATTTTTGGGCTGTGATGAGTTTAGTTATGCAAGCTATATGTGCAGATGAAAAGTTAGCAAAAGGAGTTATTTTGCCTTTAGCAGAGAGAATGGTTTGTAAATTTTGATTAAATTAATACATTCTTATAACAAATAAGTTATTTTATTAAAAATTTTAATGATTAATTTATAAAAACAAGGTGTTAAAATTAATTGACGAAGGAAAAATGGAAGCAGAGCAGGAAGTTCAACTTTATTTAATGATATTGGAGCTTCAGGGTAAAAGTGAAGAAATGTTAAATGTTTTATCTGGGCCCTTAGCTTCTCACCTGTCACCTGTTCCACAACGCAAAGCAGCACTTCTGTTAAAGTTGGATCGTTTTCCTGAAGCAGCAAATGCGTGTAAAGAACTTATCAGTGAAAAGTAAGTACAATATAGTGAATACATTTTCAAAATATAATATCATCTAGTATTACATATTCTTTGTATATTATGAGTAGTATGGACAATTGGGCATACTATCAAGATTATCTTTTTGCTGCTCTTAAATTTCAAAAACCAGAAGAGTGTTTAGCCTTTTTTGATAAGATTATAACTACATCAGAGAAAAAAGTCAGGGCTCCATATTTGGCTAAATTTGAGTTATTCAAACGTACTAAAAACGATGGAGTTATTGAAAATACTACGGATCCTGTGGATTTAATGTATCAATATTTTTCACAATTTGGAGAAAAAGACTGTGTTGTTGGAGATCTACGATTGTACTTAAATTTACTAACACCTGCAGATAAATTAGAACTGCTACAGAAGGTGAGTCATGAGATATGATAGTGCGTTACTCAAAGGAAAGGTTCTTGGTCCTAATTATAATATTCAACTTAAAAATTTTACTTTGTTTTTAGATAGAGAAAGACGTGGGTGTTAAACCAGAAGAATTCCCAATTACTTTACAGCAAATGCAGAAGCACATTCATTTACAACAAGTGCGTCGTATCTGTGGTATGCATCATTCCCCAAATGTAGGCACCAATGAACAAAAGCAACTGGTAGAACGATTATGTGAATTATATGAAAAGGGTAATGAATTATGTCCAATTCAAGAAAGATTACCAACAGATTTTTGTCCTGCGGATTCTTATATCCTTTTAGCGTCAGATTTACTGCATGAATTGTGGTGCGACACCGATGAAGCATCTTATCTCTACAGGTGATGTCATCTTTATAGAAAATATTTTTGGAAAAGTTATTTTTTACATAATAAAAATAAACAAAATAATTTTATAGGGCAATGTCGATATTAGAACGCGGTTTGTTATCAAGTCCAGCAAACTTTTATATAAAAATTATACTTGTGCGAATATATTTGGAAGCAGGATTAGTGGGTGCAGCAGATAACATTTTTACGTCTTTAGATGTTAAACATATTCAATTAGATTCTTTGGGTCATTTACATGCGCCACTGCTAGCTCCGCTTGGCCACCTTTCCTTGGCGTCAACAACTTTAGATCACTCCAATAGATTTTTCATTGCGAACTGCAAAGATGTATGTATTTATGTAATATGCAATTGCTTCAAAGGCCAAGAAACTTTTTTTAACTTAATTTCTAATACATAACCAGAGTGCAGATCATTTAACGTTTGCCTATAAATATGGCAGTTTTGTAAAGATTCAAGAATTTGTGGAGTTAAGAGAACGTTTGGAAAACTCCTTCCACTTTGTTATGACTACAGTAGATAAAATGCTCCTAGAATTAAGTTGGTGTGATAGCCCCACATCGCTCTTCTCAACTATAAATAACATGCATATTCAACCCGACGAAGATTCAGTTCGTTTGAATTCTCTGCGGGATAATCGTGACTTGTTGGTAATGTCAACTACGTTATTTTGCGATGAAAATGTAAGATTCTGAAAAACTAATACGTTTCATTTAAACAGGTGGTCTGTGGATGGGAACCTTTAACAGAAGATGAAATAGATCCTAGGATGCAAGAAGAAACACGCGTGTGCATGTTAAGATTACTTGCAGCGAGGAATTTAATGCTGAAAATTTTGGCAACATGTGCTATGTCAGATTCTTCTTCGCTTTTATGTAGATTATCTATTGAATTGAAGCAGCTAGATAATGAACAGATTCCATTGGCACTTCAAAAGTTTGAATCGGAAGGAAAAAGAAATAGACCGTGTAAAATACTGGTTCCTATGGACGCAGTAGAAAGGTTACGCGAAGCCCATTATTCGGAGCAGTTGAAGACAATTGCTCGACTCGCGGAATCGTTATCTCAGTCGCGTTATCCTGACTTTGAATGTGTTCAAATGCTACGAGCATCTCCGTGTCTTCAGACAATAGACATGCCTGAAAAAGGAATTCCAGTGTCGTTTAAGCATTTCCTATTAAGAGCATCTACGTGTAGCGAGTCTCTTGCAATTATTAGTGCCATATGTACTATCTGCGCAACGCAATTACAACCACAGACATCACATAAGAAAAATAAAAAGAAGTATTCTAAAGAAATAGAATCTGATCCGTTAAATGATAATTGCCATGTAAGACAATTCAAAGTATAACTTCAAACTGACTTGTCATATTAATTTCAAATAATGTTAGTTTAATTTTTCAATATTGTTGCAGAGCTGGAAAGATATTGCGATGTTACTTATAGAAAGGATTCACAATTTAGATCTGATGCTAACTGAACTTGAAAAGTATCAACTAAATACGGGACTGAATAAAGATGAAGATGATATACGTGCAATGATAATTAAGTACGGCCAAGCTAGTCTGAGACAAAGCTGCAGATCGTTAAAATCTCGAGCTCAAATCACACTAAAACTCTTGAATAGTTTAAAAAGGTGAAATTGTACGAAAATCCTTGTACAAAGAATATCCATCCAACGATTTACTGACTTTTAAAATTGATTCATTTATTGTGTATATTACTCTTACTTAGTCCTAACCAATTATAAATATCGCCTGAATCGTTTATTAGAAATTGAAATCTTTAAATTATTTCAATCTCCACAATAAATTCGTGAACATTTAATGAAGGGTATAGTTGGATAAAATGGTCAAAGTTGCCTCTAAACCAAGTTGGAGTTGCAATGGACCATTCAATAGCTTATCCAGAGGAAATAATTTCTACCAAATTTCTACCCTGTTTTTGAACCAGAAGGGTAGTAACAGGGGAGAAATGTAATTTTCTGTTTTTGGTTTATTTCTCCTATTGTATTGGATACAAAAATCTGAAAAATAATCAAGTATATTGTAGTTATCATGGTGTATATCGGGAAATTTTGTAGGATTTTTAGTTGAAAATTCTACTTGTAAAAAATGAAAAAACGTGAAATAATGCCAAAAAATACCCATTTCTTGATGAAATGTACGTTTTTCCCTATTACTATTCCTTTGAGCAGGATACAGGGTTGAAACTTAGTACAAACTGTTTCTATTGGATAAGCTTTCGAATGGTCTATTACGAGTCCAATTTGTTTTAGCTGCACTTTTGACCCTCTTATCTTGCCATACCCTTAATAATTTTTGTCATTCAATTGTTTTTCATTAAATAGTACACACTACGAGCTAACATAAAATAGTGTTTTAAGATCGCTGATCAAACGTTTATACATTACATCGCGGTAAACTATAATCTTGACAAGATAATTTAGAAACACAATTCCCTTTGCCCTTTGTATTTAAAACTTAATATATAATTTTTAATATATCTTGAAAATTGTTAGGAAATTATTTCAAATGCAATTTTTAACAATGCACTTAAATTTTTTGTTGAGAAAACAGTGTGTGGCCTATAATGCTATTGAAAAGTGTGTAAAAATCATAGATAAAATATGTCAAAAATGATAACACCAAGAATGAATTTAAGGAAAAATATTTTTAGTTTTATGTCAAAGCTACTTATTTGTTTTTTGCCTCCTAATTGTACATTGATAAATTTATTACCTGTTAATCACGCAATTTAAGTGATTAGTTGATTAAAGTGTACGAAATTAATGAATTGAATAAATTTATATGAAACTAAAGTTTATTCTTTTTCCATTATACACAAATCGTATGCATTTGCTAATTTTTTTTAGAATTACATCGACGATGGTAATTCTATGTACTGTCTATTCCATTATTCCGCATAAAGATCACAATAAAATTATGTGAACTTGGTGTCACGTATACAGGGTGTCTCAAAAATGTCTCTCTTGCCGGAAATGAGGAGTTCTTGGGATGATTTGAAACAATTTTTTACTTAGCGAAAATGTTATCCGAGGCTTTGTTAACGTGATATTAACGAAACCACCCCCCTCAGAACGCGAGTTTGACAGCCGGTTCCCGCGCTAGCGGTGGTTATAACACAGCCGACATAAAGGGGGAGATTCCTTTGGGGCAGAGATGGGCAACATTTTTATCTCAATAAAAATCGTGAATACAGACAAAAAGATAAAAAAATTTTTATCGTTACTCAAAGCTTGAACAAAAAAGTAATTTTATCGACGAGCGTCGATTAAATAAATTTATTCAACGAGAATTATCCGATAAATAAAAGTTACTTTTTGTATTCATGGCGTTTCACTCATAGCATCGATATTTTCATCCTTTATATGTATTGTTGCGTGGGCCCTCAGGGAATTCCTGAGTCTCAATGTAAGTTAAAAGTAAAACGCGTTAGCTTTATGGATAATTGTAATTAAAAGGAAATTATAACGATAATAATAAATTGCAATAGAGATTTAAATTAAACTTTGGAACTATATTTAAACTATTACGATAAACGATTTAAACTAATTAAAAGGAAAACGAATTTAATTTATAAAAGGTAATTATATTAGTCCTTTCTGTTACAATGTTGTCGATGGAATGAATGTCTTTTCATTTCTCTTTATACACCTTTTTGTTTAATTACAAAATGTCCTTACTTACTACTGACCAATCCATAATTATTAATTTCTAAGATTTATCCTGATTCGTTGATGCGTTTCTTCCCGGTTATCGATAACGAGCGATTTACATATTTGCAATGATTCTGAGTGGTAGGATAGGAGGCCAAGGCAACTGGTAAATGTTTAAACATTCGTTAATAAATGAATATTAATTATTTTATAATCTTGAAATGCGTTTATTAAAAGGATCTCTAACAGGGTTTCACGCTTCTTCAATTAGTGTCAACTTCACCTTTGCCCTCCTTTCCTATTACATGTGTCGTTCGATTCAAACTTCGCGCCTCTGGAGCTTATGACATATATCACTACGTGGGATGACCGAGGATCGCAACATGTGCGACTCCCTGACGGCCTGGTCAGGTGCTTCAGCTCCAGGAGCATCGACCGGGTCGTCGCCATCAGCGACGACGAGGACGTAGACTCTGACGGGTCTACGATGTCCGCCTCGTCGGTGCGCTTGGGGGGGGCCGGCTCTGGCGCCACGGGCGGCCGGAAGAGGGGGCGGCCCCCTGTCGCTGTTGACAGGGGCGGACTCGCAAAGGCCAAGCGTAAGCTGCTCAAGCTTACGCATAAAGAGCAGGGCCTCCGCGAGGAGGACATTGAGGACCGGGCGGTGCCGCCGCCCCCGGTCTCAAAATCTTGCGTGAGGCTGCCACCGGGTGAAGCGGTGGCAGCCCCGGACCTGGGTGCGGTCATTAACGACCGCATCCAGGTCATAGAAAAGGTGGCGCGCTGTAGCGCCAACCGGAAGGGAACGAACGTCCGGGCCCTCCGGGAAGCCGCCCTGCAGATCCGCTATGCGGCTGCAGAGCAGGCAAAACGGACGGTGCTCTCCGAGCGAGAGATCGAGCTGGAGCGGGAGGTACGTGACCTCCGCGCCCGGCTCGTCGCTGTGGAGGCGCTGTCCGACCGGAGGGAGGCCCGGAGGGCGT